ATGAGAAACTATCTGTTCTGTAAGCCTTCACCTGAAGTACAATAAAATATTAAAAAATAAAAATAAAAAAAATAATAATGAACTAAATCCTGATGTATATTTAAAAAAAGACCAACATGACAAAAGTTGGGTTCATTCCAGCAATGCAGGGTGATTCAACATTAGAAAATCTATAAATGTCATTCACCACATTAAGAGAATAAAAGAGAAAAGCCATACGATCATCTCACAGATGCAGAAAAAGCATCTGATAAAATCCAATACTCATTCACATACCAAAAAATCTTAGACAACTATGAATAGAAATGTCTTTAACCTATAAAGAATATCTACAAAAACCTACAGCAAACAGCATTCTTAATGGTGAAACATAGGAAGCACTTCCTTTAAAAAAATTAGGTGCAACACAAGATGCTCACTATTAACACTTGTATTTAACACTGTACTGGAAGTCCTAATTAGCATAGTAAGGCGAGAAAAAGAAATAAAAGGTGGTCTTATGTCCATTAGAAAGGAAGAAATGACTTTCATTTGCAATAGTTTAGCTGACTACACAGAAAATCTAAAAATACCCACATAAATTATTAGAATAAAATAATTTAGTAAGATGGCTTAACACAGATCTACATACCAAAAAAAAAACTTACATCAGCAAACAGAAAAAGAGGAAAAATATACCATTTACAGTAATAACAAAAATAAGGTATCTAAAAAGTTAAATCTAATAGAAGATTTCAGAGACCCTGGGTAGTACAAATGGTTAACATGATCAACTGCTACTTAAAAGGTTGGAGGTTAAAATTCATCCATAGGTACCTAGAAGAAAGGCCTGGTGATATACTTCCGAGAAATTAAGTCACTGAAAATCCTATGGAGCACAGTTCTACTCTGATACACACGAGGGTCACCGTAAGTGAGAATCAACTCCACGGCAACTTTTTTTTTTTATGGAGAAAAAGAAAATTTACTGAAAGAGATATTAAAAGATCTAAATAACTAGAAAGATATACCATGTTCAAGGATAGGAAGGCTCGATATCATAAAATAAAGGGATTAATTAAATACATGTGTAGATTAAAGGCTACAGAGCTCTTAGACTCATATACAAGGCAAGTCCCACTCTTTAAAAAAAATGGCTTTTTAATTTTTGCAAAACTTATCTCCCACTCATGGATATTTTTGCAGTTGGTATAAACTTAGTCACTAATCACAGGTGTTTTACTTTAATTAAACTTTAGTAATAGTTGATATGGCACTTTAGAATTCTGACAGCTGCAATAAACAAATATGAGTGAAGAACAAATAATTAGTAGGTGGCTGCATTCTGACTAGTTAATGGGCTGTGATCCCATTGGGTCAAAGGTCAGTCAGTGATGCACATTCACCACAGTATAAGTTCTGAGATCCATTCCTGCAAGTGAAGAAATGTTGCGAACATTTTATATAATACGTAAGGTTTTTGATTCCTGGTAATTATCTGTCAACAGTACCAAAACAATGTCTCCCTAAAAGCCACCAAAAATATGTAGACATTTATTCCAAATACAAACTGCACTAACAAGGAGAAAAAAAAGCCAAAACACATTCATAATACAGTGATCGGACGTTATGAATTCTCATATTAGGCTAAAAGGACATTTTAGTGGACCTATGTATGATCCTTATACATGTGAAACCTATTAGCAGTTATCAAGTTTGTTTTACAGTGGATCTGAACTTGATCAGATGTTTTATGATTCTCTTGAGGTCTAACTTATTCAAGTTTAATTTTGGTTTATGTAAGTTTTGTGACACCTTACATTGCTGCCTGAACTTTGCTCTATCCAAATTCCTAACAGAGAACTAGAAATAATGATCATTTGCCTTACTGGCTGCTAGGAGATGATAATATTAATAATAATAGCTGACATTTATTGCATGCTTACTATGCGCCAGGCTTTGTACATACTAAATAATTTCATATTCACATCAACTCTATCAGGTGGATAATATTACTATCACCATTTTACAGATAGGAAAATTGAGGTACATAAAAGTTAAGTAACTTCCAATGTCACACAACAAGTAACTGGAGAAGCTAGTATTCAAACCCAGGTAATCTGGCTCTGGAGCTCAGATCCTTAATTACTACGTTATAATGCTTTTCACAGTACTTAAAAGATACATAAAATTATTACAAAGGACCAAAAAAAACACCATTAAAAAATTATCGGTAAGAGTTAAACAACAGTTAAACAATATTAATGGCAATACAACTTATTATCGGTTGATACTTCACAGCTATTTCAAAGTTCATGACCAGCATTTAAGAGTTTTGAAGTTGGACAGACCTGGCTCTGAATCCTGGCTGTGCCCTTTAGAAGCTGTGTGACTTTGGACAAGTTTTATAACTTCACCAAGCCTCAGTTTCCTCATCTGTAAAATGAGAATAATAAACATCTCACCAAGTTGTTAGTAACACAATTATTGCTGCATTACACTGATATGTAACTCCAAACAAGACACAGCTACACACAAAATATAAAGAGAAGGAGGTTCTCAATTTCCCCCCAAGAAAACAGGACTTTATTATAATGATATAATGAAGATGACTGCTCCAAATCACCGCAGCGACCGTAAGATCTACACACTAATGTAGAACCACAATTTCCCTTAATACATAACAATGAATTTCCCTAGATAAAGGTCAAATGCCTACAGGTAAATTACTGGATTTCTGAAACATAAAATACTGTACATTATACAGAGAAGAGAAAGACACTGTTGTTTGCTGAGAACAACTTCCACAAATCTTGCTCTACCCACGTCCCTTCTAAGACTAGCAGCATTCAAGGGGCCAAAAGAGGAAGAGCTGGGTCAAGAAGGAGCCCCTCCAGGCAGAGGTAGGAAAGAATGTTAAAAAAGAAAAAGAAAAATAGAAAGAAATGGACATGTCATCAAAGTAGGGTGGAAAATGGACACAGAGGTAACTAGAAGACAAGGGAAGCTTACTCAAAACAACCTAGAGCATCTCCATAATTAACTGCAAAACCATATATGCATCCTCCTTTTTCATGTAAACCAGAACAGAAAATTCTACCACATTTTCTTTCAGAATTTGCTGAGTAAACAGTAGTTCTACAGAATGTTAAGAATCCATTTGGCTTGAAATTTTTCTTGTTTTATAGATGTCTTTCTGTCCCTAAAGAAAATACATGGCTGACAAAAGGGTAAATTTTACACATTTACAATTCTAGACCTGGGATTTTGCTTTAAAAAATGAAAGTGGTTGCAAACAGATTATCTACTCAGCTTGCATATTAAAGATCTCTGATTTATGGAGAAAATTACACAAGCAGAATTAAACTATGGAATGGTATTTGGAGCTAAAAACAAGTAACTGGGAAGTTCTTTAATTTAATAGTGCAATTCAGATAAAATATTTACAGAGTACCTACTGTGGGAAGTGCAATCACAATACCCAGTATTACCAGGGATACAAAAAAGTAGTAAGACATAATCTCTAACCTCTAGGTTCTCACAATCAAAGAAAGGAGTATAAAAATACTATACGATGGAACACTGTAAATGCTTTATTTAAGAGAGGCACAAATTGCTTTAAGAGGGGATGAGATCACTGAGCTGGTAGAAATGAGGAAAGATTTCATGGAAGATGCAACATTTGAAATGAACACTAATAGTAGGATTCTGAAAACTCTAACTTCTGAATATTAAAACAATTTAAACTAAACAATTTTCCTTCTATTACGGAGGTGTATATTGTAGATTGAAGTTGTCAAAGATTTCATTTTACTTGGATCCACAATCAATATCCACGGAAACAGCAGTCAAGAAATCAAAAGACGCACTGCATCGGGCAAATCTGCTGCCAAAGACCTCTTTAAAAGAGTTGAAAAGCAAAGATGTCACCTTGAAGACTAAGGTGTGCCTGACCCAAGCCATGGTGTCTTCAATGGCCTCATATGCACGTGAAAGCTGGACGATGAATAAGGAAGATCGAAGAAGAATTGATACCTCTGAATTGTGGCGTTGGAGAAGAATACTGAATATACCACGGACTGCCAAAAGAACGAACAAATCTGTTCTGGGAAGATGTACGACCAGAATGCTCCTTAGAAGCAAGGATGGCAAGACTTCGTCTCACATACTTGGGACATGTTATCAGAAGGGATCGGTCCCTGGAGAAGGATATCAAGCTTGGTAAAGTAGAGGGTCAGCGATAAAGAGGAAGACTCTCAACGGGATCGATTGACACAGTGGCTGCAACAATTAGATTAAGAATGACAACGATTGTAAGGATGGTGCAGGACCGGGCAGTGTTTCATTCTATTGTACACAGGGTTGCTATGAGTTGGAACCGACTTGATGGCACCTAACAACAACATATTGCCTCCTAGTTACTGTTACAATGGAGCGTGGAAGATGAAAATGTACTAAATAAATCTAAGAAAACATGTTCAAAAAAGAGCTGACAATAACAGCTATATCTTCAATATCTCATTTACCTTCAAATACTAGTTCAGAATTTTATATTAAGAAACTTGAAAAATTAAGAGAAAAATACAACATGTGAAATAACAGAGCTCACTCATTCACTTATTAATAATGCTTTAGAAACTTCTTAAAAAGAGAGTCACTGCAACTGGGCACAAAATTTAGCTCTAAGAACTACAGCAGAAACACACAGAGGGATGTGAAATGAGTTACATAGAGCTAAGCTGATAAAAGAAAGCCTAATAGTTTGTCCATACATGTTCCTACTTCAAAAAGAGGAATTTTATGAATCTTTATGAAAAAAAAGATACTTAAAATGTATCTTTAATAGCAGCTTTACAGAAATTACAAAAATCTTGATTTTGTAAATTTTATTGAAGTATAATGTAGAAAGTACATAGATCATAAGTATACAGCTCAATTAATTTTCACACACATACACACACAAAAAAAAACACTCATGTAACTAGCACCCAGATCAAGAATGGAACATTACTAGCATCCCAGAAACCTCATTTAATGTTGCCTCTTCTAGTCACCATCTTCCTAGCCCCTAACCCCAGTTAAGATACCACTATCTTGACTTCTAATATCATAGACAGCATTTTGTCTAGTTTAGAACTTTATAAAAAAGAATCATAGAATATGTTCTCTTTTGTGTCTGGCTTCTTTCACTTAACATTATGTTTATGAGATTCATCCATATTGTTGCCCACAGTTGTAATTCTTTCATTCTCTTGGATAGTTTTCTACTGTTCACAAAGATTTTTGTTTGTTTTGATCAACCCTTGACAAAAGCTGATCATACAGTGTTAAGACAGACCTAAATTAAAATTCCTGTTCCATCAGTGTGTGACATTAGGCATTGACTTTGGATTCTCAATTCTTCATTATAAAAAATAATAAAGCTTAGATTGTAAAGTTGTTGTGAGGTTTAAATAAGAAAACTAATATACAGTAACTGGCACAGAGTAGATGTCTTCTCAAAATATTAGTTCCCTTCTTTTCCTTCTCCTTAGTCAGAGTAAAGTTATACTACTGGCAGCCCCATATATACTGTGCTTTCATCCACATAATTCCTTCTATCTGGAATGCTTTTTTTGGGGGGTGGGGGGGGTGGCCATCTTTCCCATACTCAGATCATCTGTCCTTCAAAGTAATGTTCAAATGCTACATCCTCTGTCTCCCCACCACTTCACCTATATTTCACCCATCCCACTTATCACTGTCCATCTTGTATTGGAGTTATCTTCAACTAGTTACTTGAGGAAAGAGAACATATCCGATTCATCTTCATTCTTTCTAATACACAGAGCACAGAGTTTTGCATCTAGCAAGCACTCAAACAGTTATAGAATAAATAGCATTATTCTAGATATATCATTGCCACCGAAGAGTAATTATGTCTATTTATAACCAGCATTTTACTAGTCAAAACAAGATAAACTGTCAATACAGTTTGCTCCAGGCTCTCAAGGAAATAATTTTGCGATAAATAGCCACATTTCTATCAATACCTGCATTTAGCAGGAATACATCCATCTGTGATAAGGCTAGACATTTCTTAGAAGGGGGTGATTTTAGCAATACAATATATTTTCTTTTTTAAAGGAAAAACAGCAACAGTATTTTACAAAAAATCCTGTAGGATAATTTTGTTAAATAGCTCATCAATACTATTATCACGCTGAACTATTATGAATATCACCACTCTAAGAATATAAATTATATCTAATTATTAAAATGACTTATTAAATAAAAATAATTAAAATGACTGTGTGTTCACTGTAGCTCAAAGAGATTAATAAAGAAAAAAATTATCCTCAAAACCCCCTATTAGCAAATATTTGCAAAAATGACCTTCAGATTTTCTTAATAAAAAGTTCAGAGAAGTATCTGTCTAGAACAAAGGTCATCTAATTTTTACAAAAGTGCCCTCTTCTGAGAAAACTAAGTAGTTGCACAGGAATTTCTGGGAGTCCTTGAAATATCTATTTTATAAATAAGGCAGATGAATATAGGAAAAGAGGTCCTCCAGGTTACTTAAGACAATCACCTAACCCTAAACAAACACATTAGGTCCTTATGCTCTGTATCGGTTCACTGCAAGATTAATAAATGCTTAAAAAGTATTTTCTAATAAGTGAAGAATTTTCAGTAACAAGTAGAAACATCCACTGCTGGTCATTATACAGTAGCTTTTAACAGATTAATCCTCCTAGCAAGAAAAGCTATAAAAACTGAATTAAAAACAAAAAAATAAGCAAATAAGGCAGCCCAGACTTGAGACACCAAGATAATAGATAGGAAACACAGTTAAGCCTGACATCCTCTACCAGTTTTTCCTCCTAGGGCATTAAGCTGCAGACTAGAGCTTTAGGCAGTCTCACAGAGCTGCGGAGACAAAAATTAAGAGTTCAGAACTAACATACTGAGCAGGATTGAAGAGGCTAAGATTCCACAGAAAAGGCAATCACATAAAAGCGAGTTTGGATAGCTTGTACTGCTTTTGCCCTCAGGGTATTTACTGAAGCCTAACCTGTGTGGGGGCAAGAGGCCAAGAACCAAGCAAAGTGCCTATTTTAAGGCAAAAAAAGGTAAGCAGAGCTTGTGGTAGTCTCAAAGTGCTAAGGAAAGAAAAACTGGAGTGCAAGGCCTGCCAAGGAGAGGTACTGGCAAATACCACAGGCTTCTATTTGATACCTCTGAAGGACAACACTTTTGGAATAAGGAGAAACTGGATTTAAATCAGTCCCTGAGAAGTCTAAAACAAAGCCTCAAGTTATCTCAAGCCCATAACAGATCAGGTCATCTGCCCCTACTTTTAACTACCACCAGAAGAAAATTAAATCCTCTCTAGAGAACAATATCCATCAAGAGCCTCTATAATTTCTCAAACACAATGTTTGACATTCATTTTT